TACATACATATATACCTCCCCTTTTCTCTTAATTTCATTTCATTCACATGGAAGTAAAATGTCTTGTCATGGTCTCGTGCCTTTTGTTTCCATGTTTCCTTTTTTCCTGCCTGCCTTTTGTTTTCCCTTTGGGAGTGACAATTGATTGACGGGAAAAGTTAATGGCTTACTCTCTGGTTTCTATATATAGAACTCGAGGAATACTTAAAGAAGTGCGTTTGCTTTTAGGCCGGCAAGCGTTAACAATAATTGAAACATCTCCGGGTCTTGGAAATTTCCCCAAAAGCTCCGAGCACATATCAAGTAGATAGTCCACACACTCCACTCATATGCCATATGCAAAGCCGCTCAGAGAGCACTCACCGAAATCCCCATGCCTCCACCCATGGTATCCTGCATCCTGGCATTACCTAGAGCCATCACTCAGTAAAAAACGCAGAGGACGGGCTGCTGGAGTAGGGCAAAAAATAATAATACTCTGCTCCTCCAGGCAGGGCACAAAATAAAGACATAAAGCAAACAAATGCCGGCATCGAGGAGGAAATATGGGAGGAACCCGTCCGAAAGGAAGGTGGATTGAATGGTTGACTGGCAGTGGAGTGGCTTTTAGTGCGTTCAAGCAGAAAAATATATAGAAAACAATAAACTGAAATTACAACAAGAGCAACTGCGGCACGGGCCAAGGCAAAATACCAAAAAAAAACAAAAAAATATTGGCAAACAAAATGTTTATAAGCCATAAAGCATTTGCCAGCTCCCAGCTGCATATTCATATAAATATTTGCATGCTAAAATTTGATGAGTAGTTATATATTTTCCGACACAACAAGCGGCAAACATTACGTCAAGCGGAATGCGGAGAAATTTCAACAGAGGATCGCATAAATTTCAGGCATTAATGAAGTCCCAACAAAAGGCATTCCCGACTGAATGGACAATCTGCACAGGATATTAACTATTCCCGTACCGCCGGATAAGATATCAGACTGCATTCAAATTCTGGCAGACAAGACACTGCAAATATACAAAGGAAAAGTTGCAATATTCGATGCCAAGAATGCGGGGAACAATAGCTGGAATCCACAGCGAGTATTCAGAAGTCATTGATACGGCCCGAGCGGAATCATTTTTTCGGGATGTGCCAATGCCAATAAGCAGACAAGTACCACCTCCGTTAGGGACACGTTCCTGTTTCGCCTCGAAAAAAAACCAACCGACTTCGTCCTTCACTCCCTGAAAATCCAATTGTCGTAGTAGACAAAAATCCTTGGCGTTGGCACACAATAATAAAAGCGACGGCGGCCAAAAAAAAAATGGGAGAGCCAAAAGCAATCTATCGAAAAGGATTTGTTTGCATGGCAGGAATTTATATTTATATATTTCGAGCTGGAAAAAGACTGAGCCTTCTCATATGTAAAAGCCGACGGGATGCCGTCAGCTTATTGATAGAAAATCACAGAGAAAGCAAAAATTGTCCTCGCTCTGCGTTTTTCTCAAATATTTGCCCAGCCAACTCGATACATATATATACTCGTATTATATCTGTACATATACATTTATGTATTCCCATATAATAACTTAGTTTGATCCCTGCGCATAAAATTTAATGGTGGCCACTTGTGTTTGTCGTCTGTTCGTCGGATTTGTGTCAGAATATTGACAGTTGGTCGATGTCACTGTATAGGGACAACAGGGCGTATGTGCAATGCTTACCACCACATTCCCACACTCTTCCACCGCTAAGCTCCCTTTTTATCAAGTTTTCTGGTAGAAAATTGCACTCAGGTGGAGTTCGAGACTTGGAAAGAGCTGCTCAGTCTGCCAGCTGTTCCCTAATCAAACTTTTTCAATACATCGCGCATTAAAAACGAGTTGACAAACTGCAACACAAAACTTTGACCAAGTCCCGGGACCTGCTAAGTCCTGGGTTAACTTAGGTCACAGCGCTGAGGGATAGGATAGGGTTGTCCCCTCTAAACGTGAGTCACGCAAACATCTCTACTTTGCCACCCAAGTGCAGTAGCAAATTGCATTTTGAAAAAAAAAATAATAAAAAATCAAACTTTCCCAATGCATTTCCACCGGGGGTTTGAGTAACATCTTGAAAATGGAATGATATAAAATGAGGCGATAAGTTGTTGGCAAGTTTGGGAACCTGCTGAAAAAAAGGTGGCTGGCAAGCACATTACTCATACGCAATGTGAGACTATCCCGGGAGGCATGATTAATGAGGCGGCTGCTGTTGACATCCCCAAAAGCAATTTGAATTATAGCAGGAAATAGACATAGTTCCCTGTGATAAGTCATCAGCGACAGTCCCGAGAAGGAGGAGTAGTGCTGGCGGGTCAGCTGGACCAGACAGTTGTCATTAATTCTGGCCAACAAGGAGTCGGAGACGGATTTCTTGAGCTGACCACAGGCACAGCGGCATTTTCATGACAATTTAACACAAAAAGCTCAACAGACCGATCTTTGCTGCACTGGGCAAAAAAGTAAAGGGTTTCCAAAATCTATACTCCAGTTAGGTACGATTTCTCAATGTGATGTTAATGTCCCAGTTTGTTCTATAACTGTTTGAAAAGTGTGCTATTATACGATTCATTGGACAATAGAAATAGCATATTGACTTACTGATAAAAGTCAAAATGAAATTCAGAAGCCGGCTTTAAAAATTCTTGAGGTACGTAGAACATTATTCAGCATTTCTATGATAATTCTGCATACGCTTCGATATCTTTAGGTAATTTTCTTAGCTAGTTACTTGTAGCAGATTTAATATTATTACTTTAATATTATATTATCCAGTCTTCTAAGGTTTCGACATTTTTTTGACGTTGTTTATAAATTTTTCCAAGTGCCTGATAGAACATTATTGGATTGGGGGAATAGCGACAGCCAAAACACACAATCCGAGTGCCAGTGGAAGCGTAATCGATGCGGCTCACATTAGATGGTTGCTCCTAAGAGGGCCAAACTCAGCTGAAGTGAGCCGGACGGAATCCTTGGCCAGCCACCAGCATCTCGAGTGCTCCCAAGAACCCAACTGACCTCTCAGGGAACTGCTCCTTTCGCAGCCGCTGCTGCTTTTTATCCCAAGCTGCTGCTTCGTTTATCATTTGTTGTTCACTTGTCGAAATTTTATTGCTGCAATCTTGTTTGTCGTCGTCGTCTCGTCCTTTTCCTTTTTCTCGTGAAAGGAGAGCGCACGCTGGGGGACATTTCAAATGCCTTCCTAAGGGCACTTACAGCTAAGGGCGGAATATTAGCACAAAGGAGTTCATAAAATTTGTTATGAGTCTTTAAAAGTTATGGGTGTTTAATTTAATCACTTATTTTATAACAACTTTTAACAATAAATATTCAATTAAAATACTTTAGTTATAAAACTAAGAACATTTTGGAATAGCTTCAAAATAATTACAAAATATATTTAGTATTTTACGTATTACTGAAGAATTCGCGGTTGTGTATTTTTGTTTTCATTGTTTTCTAGAATATACAAAATCCCAAAATCTTTTGGATGGGCTAATCCAGCATTAAAAGAAACCACATATCAATAGCTAAGTTATATATAAATAAAACGCGAATTCTTCAGGAGAGAATAGATGCTATTATTTTGACCCCAACTGTGCTCACATCCGCTTGAGTCAGAGGCGTAGTCGCACCCCGATGAATATTCGAGTCCTTTTCTTACTCGCCCCCCATCTACGCAACTGGATGAGCGAGCTGAATGCTCCTTGTATCCGAGACGACTGGTCATTGTTGTTCAGGCTGTCGTTGTCGCAGCCGGAAATGCGTCTAATAAGAGTGTGTGTCGGGTGAGCGCATTACGTATACGTAATATACATTTATATATAAGTGTGCACCATACGTCTCTGCCGGCAATTTAAAGTGCGACCCTTATTTTTTCGGTTGCTTTAAAACTGGTGCTCAACCAACAATGAGAGCAAATATTTCAGGAAAATTAGTTTCCTTTGTTCCCCCTGAGAGACAGAGACAAAAGAAGCGAATTTTCCCGCAATCAGCGAAAGGAGCAACCATGAAAACGCTCAGCACAACGGCAAAGGAAAATCAATAGCATGCAGTTAATATAGGGTTTAAATAAATTAAAATTTCCAGGCCAAGAATAGTGATACTCTTTAAGCGGAAGAAATCTATTTTATGCCTGGCATTTATGGCCCAGACACGCACAGTGGCCCACAAAAGTCACTGCCCGGCGGCCACTACTATACATACTACATGTGTCAGCATGAAAGGCAATGAATTGTTTTTATGTGCTAATGTCCGGCAGAAAGCCGGCTCCCAGGACCCAAAATCTGGAAATCCGGTTTGCTTTTGCATGCCCGACACGTAAGGCGATTTGATTTCAATTTCCCAGATTCAACTTGCCACTGTCATCTGCCCATCTGGCCGCCCCCCAAATGAGTTGGCAACTTTGGCCGCTGCGTATGCTTAATACGATTTGCTACCGACCATCAGATAATCACTAGGTATTTCAGCCACTCCACACCGCCGAGAGCAGGCGAAAACCAATTCTGATCGATGGTTCCTGCAGGAATAAAATAATTCGATTAGAGCGATTTCGTTTAGCCGGTTTTCCCAGCTAAATATACACCGTAATATAAGTTAAGCAATGCAAAAGTCAGCCAAAGTCGTCCATTTGGCAGAGGCAAAATGGCGAAATCTATGCTTATCACTTATCACTTATCACTCGAGTGGGCTACGTCTGCCGCCTGTTCGCCTGTGAAGTGCGTTTAATTGAAAGCCTGCGGCGTGTAATCTCTCCGATAACAGCAGATAGTTTTTTCGCTCAATCAAAGCCGATAAGTAGCACTACATCCTCTCGGGCCGAAACAAAAAATAATAGAATTAAAATAAGGAAAAGCCAAGAATGATAAGGAATTTCACGCGAATAAACAGAAATGACTTGGCCGGAATACAAGAGGCACGGCCACCGATAACCGGGCTCAATGAATGGTATATAAGAGCCACTGTGTCCGGTGGAGAATCATTCGTTCTTCGACCATCATGAAAGTGCTCGTTGTCTTCGCTTTGGCCCTGGCCACCGCCTCCGCCGGTCTGCTGCCCCAGCAGATGCCCGTCCACCCCCGTGACCTGCCCGCGGTGACCTCGATCGAGGGTCGCATCACCAACGGCAAGACCGCCACCGCCGGCCAGTTCCCCTACCAGGTGGGACTCAGCTTCGCCAGCACCAGCGGCAGCTGGTGGTGCGGTGGATCCATCATCGACAACTCCTGGGTGCTGACCGCTGCCCACTGCACTGACAGGTAAGTTGGGGGATTCTTTAGCTCTATAACTACCAGAACTTGAAAGGACTTTAGATATTTGAGTTTAATTGAAGAATTATAAGGCTTGAAATGCTTTATTCAACCGTTAGTAGATAGTAGGCTTTCCAAATTATCGTTTTCTGGGCACTTGCTCACGGTTCTTGCGCTTCCAGGCAGCACGCCTAGATCCACCCAAAGTCTTAGAATATCTGTATCCCTTGCCAATGCCACGGCTACTTTTTCCAGTTGAAGTAAGACCACGCAATTCGCGATGCTTGTGAATCCAGTTGATTTTCGGATCACGGCGAATGGCACGGTGATGAGCGTCAATCAAGATTACCTCATAAAACTTGTAAGCAGCATCTTGAGCAATCCAATAGGAGTTCAGAACTCTGAGGCCACCCAGCCTACGACCAACACGTTCCTCAGCAATAGACTGCAAGCCACGATACGACTTCAGTTGATTCACTCCATGACTCTTCGGTTTTCCATAAGTGCATCCTTTTGGCACTGGACGCTTGCGACCACCACGGCGAACACGGATTCTGTAGATCACGAACCCTGGCTTGGCACGGTATCCCAGACGCCTGGCCTTATCCGGACGAGTTGGTCTGGGTGAGCGATGCAGCTTGGCTAGTTGACGGTATTGCCAAACGCGAATACGCTGCAAGTATCGCATCACATCGCTCTGCTTCTTCCTGTAGAGTTCCTCCATGTAACGATAGGCCCCCATCTCAGAAAAAAATGAATGACAAGACAGTAGATTTCCAGAAAACAAAAGGGACTGAGTACTTTATCAAAGCCTTCTTGAAAGAAACAAAAAGCTGTATTACATGATAATGAAATCTCCTAAAGATGATGATCTTCTAAGACTTTCAAACACAAATAAATATATAACCTGTTATTGTAATGTCTATCTTCCCGCTGCAGTGCCTCCTCTGTGACCATCTACTACGGCGCCACCGTCCGCACCAGCGCCAAGCTGACCCAGACCGTTGCCAGCTCCAACTTCATCCAGCACGCCAGCTACAACTCGGTTGTGTTGAGGAACGACATCTCCCTGATCAAGACCCCCTCCGTCTCCTTCACCAGCGACATCCAGAAGGTTGTGCTGCCCGCCATCGCCAACACCTACTCCACCTACGCCGGTCAGAAGGCCATCGCCTCCGGATGGGGCAAGACCTCTGACGCCGCTTCCTCCGTGGCCAGCACCCTGCAGTACGAGACCTTCGAAGTGGTGTCCGTCGCCACCTGCCAGAGCACCTACGGCTCTCTGATCGCCACCTCCAAGGTGATCTGCATTGCCACCCCCAACAAGACCTCCACCTGCAACGGCGACTCCGGCGGCCCCCTGGTCCTGGACAGCAGCAACAAGGAACTCATCGGTGTCACCTCCTTCGTGTCCAGCGCTGGCTGCGAGTCCGGCGCCCCTGCTGGCTTCACCCGTGTTACCAGCTACTTGGACTGGATCAAGGACAACTCCGGTGTCACCAACTAAGCACCTTCCAAATAAAAACGATTATTGACCTACATCAAGTTGTTTGATTTTTGGGGGAACCCTCAAGTTTCGCATTAAATTGTATGTATTGGTACTATTAACAAGTAACAAAAACATCTTATATAAAGGTAAATCCTTGACAATACTTTAACAAAAAATTTCAAACCTCCTAAAATAAATATTTTAATGTATATCTTTAGTAAATTCTACCTCAAACTCATAGAGGTATCCCACGTCGAATTCGGTAACCAATAACTCAAGTTATGGAATCTAGAAGTGCAGTTTTGGGTTCCCAATCTGATAACCATGGGAATTACGAAAAAATCTGACATGAAAATGGGTTAAAATTGTGACCCCCTTTGAAAATAAATATTTGAATGCAGAAACTTATGAAATTGAACCACAAATTCATAGAGGTATCCCGTGTCAAAATCGGTAACCAATAGCTCAAGTTATGGAATCTAGAAGTGCAGTTTTGGGTTCCCAATCTGATAACCATGGGAATTACGAAAAAAATCTGACATAAAAATGGGTTAAAATTGTGACCCCCTTTGAAAATAAATATTTGAATGCAGAAAGTTAGGAAATTGAAGCACAAATTCATAGAGGTATCTCATGTCAAAATCGGTAACCAATAGCTCAACTTATGGAATCTAGAAGTGCAGTTTTGGGTTCCCAATCTGATAACCATGGGAATTACGAAAAAATCGGACATGAAAATGGGTTAAAATTGTGACCCCCTTTGAAAATAAATATTTGAATGCAGAAAGTTAGGAAATTCAACCACAAATTCATAGAGGTATCCCACGTCGAAATCGGTAACCAATAACCCAAGTTATGGAATCTAGAAGTGCAGTTTTGGGTTCCCAATCTGATAACCATGGGAATTACGAAAAAATCTGACATGAAAATGGGTTAAAATTGTGACTCCCTTTGAAAATAAATACTTGAATGCAGAAAGTTAGGAAATTGAAGCACAAATTCATAGAGGTATCTCATGTCAAAATCGGTGACCAATAGCTCAAGTTATGGAATCTAGAAGTGCAGTTTTGGGTTCCCAATCTGATAACCATGGGAATTACGAAAAATCTGACATGAAAATGGGTCAGAAATGTGACCCTCCTAAAAAAGATATATTTAAATGTAGAAAGTAAGGGAATTTAACCACAATTTCATAGAGGTATCCCACGTCTAAATCGGGATCCGATAACTCAAGTTATGGAATCTAGAAGTACAGTTCTGGGTTCCCATTCTGAAGACCCTTGGAATTTCATAAAAATCGAACATGAACATGAACACGAACATTTTTGACCCTCGCCAACAAGATAAATTTTAATGTAGAATATTAGAAAATAAAACCACAATTTCATAGAGGTATCCCACGTCCAAATCGATATCCAATAACTCTAGTTGTTGATGAACGCATTGCAGCCGTTATTTAATTTTGAATCTTATTCTCTTTGGTATATGAAATACTAACTTTTGCCCTTTTTAATGTATTTTGGTGCTGCGTCACACTTTAGAGATTTTTTAGGACTTAGTGTTAAGACTACAACGGAAAGCATCGGACACACAAGAAAATGTGACAAATTTAATCATTGAAATACAGTCCACTCAAAACCGGGAAATAAAACGTTTTTATTCTACACCATATCTTTGGTCCTTCGAGCCGGATTTAGTTACTGATTAACATGGATCAGTTTAAACTTTTGAAGGCAGCTAGAAGCCGTGCGAAGGCAAGCATTACGCGTTTGCTAACGGCGTCTCAAGATCCACGTGCGGGATCAAAATGGGAGCTTGATGAAATACGAGTTTCATTGGAAAGGCTCAACATCGTCTGGAAAGAATTCGAGTCCATCAGCGACCAACTGGTCCTTTTTGACGAAGAGGAAGGGTACGTCGATCCAGCCATCGACAACGAAAGGTACGAGGACAAGTACTTACAAGCAAGCACATTATTTCGCAACCTCATACGCACCTGTGAAGAATCTCAAGAGAATGAAAGAGAAGGCAATAACTTCAGACAATCTGGCAACCCTGATGAGGCCGCATCAATGGCATCAGGAGTGGGAAACGAAAACCTAGTTCGTTTTCTGGAACAACAACAACAGCTCAACGAGCGTTTGGCTGAGCAACAAGCAACGCTTTTAAGGGCAAACTCGGCAGCAAATGTAATGCATAATGAACTTCCAAAAATCCATATCAAGCTGTTCACTGGCGACTACAAGGAGTGGCCAGCCTTTAAAAACATCTTCGAGAGTACGATCCATAGCAAGCAGCATTTGACAGCAATACAAAAGTTGCACTACTTGAAAACGTACATCACTGGCGAAGCAGCTGACTTGATTCGACATATGCCAATAACGGATGCAGCTTACGAGGCTGCTTGGACTTGCCTAATTGATCGGTACAATAGACCACGTCACATTGTTAACACTCTGCTGGAGACATTTGTTAACTTACCTTCGACCGCCAGAGCAGATGTAACGGTTCTGCGAAAGGTGACGGACGGAGCCACCGAAATTGTACGCGGCCTGGATGCAGCAGGGCAAACTAATAGGGACTGCTGGATTATACACTTCATCCTAGCCAAGATCGACGCGGAAACCCGTCGCAAATGGATCGAAGGAAGCCGGGAACTGGAATCTCCGTCTGTGGATGATCTACTCAAGTTTTTAGACCGACGTTGCGAGGAATTTGAGCTCAGCAAAAGTGAGTCAGACATAGACTCCAAGGTTGGCCCACAACATGGCAAGGCAAAGCGATCGTCACACGCTTTAGTATCGATGGAAGCAAACACTTGTGTGAAGTGTAACTCGAAGGAGCACAAGATCTACGCCTGCTCAAAGTTTGGTGAATTGTCAATCGAGCAGAGACGCACATTTGTTAAGGCAAAATCACTGTGTTTTAACTGCCTTAAGCCTGGGCATGTGTCGCGAAAGTGTGAATCCAAATTCACATGCAAGTTTTGCCACAATCGTCACCACTCTCTGCTACATGCAGATATTCTTGGTGCGCAAGCCGCTGTCGCTGCGACGCACTCACGAGATGATGAAAGACACATCCCAAGCGCTCCCGAAGATGCTACCGTCACTATCAGCCATATCGCACGGGCACAAGTGGCTCCCACAGCTGAATCCTTCTGCAACGGATCAACAACCGCAACACAGCCACAAGGGCTACGAAAAAGTGCATTGCCAACAGCTCTAGTGTTTGTAAGAAACGCAACAGGATCGCACACTACCTGTCGGGTGCTTTTGGACAGTGGCTCGGAACTGTCGTACATCTCCGAGCGGTGCGTACAGGCGCTCGGACTGGCACGCACACCGTCACGAATCTTGGTGACCGGAATCTCATCAATCAAGGCTGAGACAACTAGAGGCTGCAGCACACTGGACTTGCAGTCAAGGATCTCAGATCACACAATGAAGGTGCGTGCTCACGTACTCAGCAAAATTACCTCCACGTTAGCAAGACATGATATCGCCGCCTCAGCACTCAAGGCATTCGCTGGCTTTGAGCTTGCGGATTCTGACTATCAATCGTTGGCGCCAGTTGATATACTCCTGGGCAGCGACTACGTTTGGACCGTATTCACCGGTCAAAAGATGTTCGACAACCAGGGCAACATCATCGCCATTTCGACCATATTTGGATGGGTCATAACATCTATCGTTACTACCGGATGTTCATCTACAACAACAATGCACACGGCTATTGACATTGACGAATCGCTAAGACGCTTTTGGGAGCTGGAGGATGTCAACCAGGAATTCCATGGGAAACCGGAGGACGATGAAGTTGAACAGCACTTTGTAAAGACGCACACTCGGGACTCTAAGGGGCGTTACATCGTCGAACTTCCGTTCAAAAACTCCAAGGAACAGTTTTCGGATACTTTACAGGGAGCGCTAACAAGATTCAGGGGTGTAGAGCGCCGCCTAAAGAAAGACCCCAATCTGCATTCACAGTACGTGCAATTTATGCGTGAGTATCTTCACTTGGGCCACATGCGCGAACTTTCGCCAGAAGACATTGACAAAAAGCCGAGCTTTTACTTGCCACATCATCCTGTAATTACCCAAAAATTACGCGTCGTATTTGACGGCTCATTCAAGGACACGAATGGACGGTCCTTAAACGAAGCTCTGCACATTGGACCCAGCATTCTACGAAACCTTTTCTCGATTTGCATGCGTTTCAGAATGTTCAAGTTTGTCTTCTCAGCAGACATCGTCAAAATGTATAGACAAATCTGGGTGGCTGCCAACCATTGTGGCTTTCAGCGAATTGTTTGGAGAGAAGATGAAACGACTCCTATTAAACACTACGAACTGTCCACGGTAACATACGGCACATCCTGCGCACCATTTTTAGCAGTGAGGGTCCTGGATCAGTTAGCTCACGACCATCAACACGACTTTCCTACCGCTGCAAAGATCTTGAAGGAGCAGTTTTATGTGGACGACGTACTGACCGGAGCACATACCGAGGAGGAGCTCATTCGCAATCAAAATGAGTTGATCCAGTTGATGAAATGTGCAGGCATGGAACTTGGTAAATGGGTTTCCAATTCATCACGTGTCGCCGACAGATCTCTCGCTTCAACCGAAGTACAAGGCAAAGGATCCAATTCTACAGCAAAAGTTCTTGGCATTCATTGGAATCCAGAAGAGGATATGTTATCCTACAAAGTTTGCCTCACAACAAATCCGCACAACACCAAACGCCAAGTGCTGTCAGATGTGGCACGCATTTTTGACCCGCTGGGTATTCTGTCGCCAGTGGTAGTGCAGTTTAAAATTCTGTTCCAAGAATTGTGGCTACTCGACCTCGGCTGGGACACGGAGCTCCCTCCAAAAATTGCGGACTGGTGGAATAAATGCCGTAACGACCTACACATCCTTCGCGACCTACGCTTGCCACGGTTTGTTCAAAACAATGAAGATCACATCGAACTGCATGGATTTTCAGATGCATCCATCAAGGCATATTCCGCAGTCATCTATAGCAGAGTGGTGCGAGCAGATGGCA